CATTGTAATTTTTCAAGCCGGAGTTATCATTTAGATTAAATTAGCAAAATGTGAAAATTTTAAAGGTAAGATTGATGCAAGTGGAACTATGAGAATCAAGTATTTTAATTTGGAATGATAATCCATCTAAAAAAAATAGTAATGGAATGATAAGATTTAAATATGTCCATCATTCTATATAATTTTATATTTATAATATTTATTTATTTATATATCATTTCTTTGTAATATGTATAATATGAAGTTTTTTTTAATTTAAGGGTGAGAAATACATTAAATTATATATACATCATCAAAATGTTAAAAATAATTTTTAAGATTGTTGTTAGTATTAAAATATATATATATATATAATGTATTAAAAATGTGTAAAGAATGAATAATAATGTGCCAAAATATTTTGTGATATGTAAAAAGTATATAAAAATTATAAGTATTTTATTATTATATAATTTGTTAATAATTCTTAAGATTATCATTAATAAGCACCCATATATCATCCCCCAATTTAAAATTTTGTGGTCAAAGAATTAGATGGCATTGTCAAATAATAACCTTGGATGGATGGTAGGAAATTAAGTGGGATCCACAAAATTTAGGGCACATACCACCTAAAGGGGACCCACTTTGATATGCAAGATAAGTGTCATTTCCGAGTTAATGCTTGTCAAGCCCTACAACTTGACTCACCACTAGCTCTTAGATATTGGGCATCCATGAATTGTGGTGTTTGGCTAGCTGTAAAGGTGTATGTATCCAACCCATGGACCCAATGCCTCTTCAGGGTCTAACACGGGGGACTTTCCAAACTTACTGACCTTGCCATCGTTGGATAATTTTGATAAAAAATAAAGTTATTATTTAATTGCGGACCTTGAGTTATTTATTATTGATTGGCCATGAAATACACTAATTTTTGGATTGTTAATTTCCATTAGTTATATACAAATGTTTATATTGACCATATTTATGTTGGGTTTTGCTGTGGCAACTTAATGGACTTCTTTCCAAGCCCATATATAGAGCCCATATATATATATATAGGAAAATAGGATTTTCGAGGAGAAATAGTCTAAAGCCTTCAAAACATTAATCCAAAATTCTTAATTTTTTGAATTTTAAAAATTATGAAAAACATGTGGCATTAAATTATTGGTTCATATAACCATTTCTAAATTTGAATTTGATGGGCATAGCCCAAATCGGTGGTCCAATGGATCGTTCAAATAATTCCTAATCCAACTTAGGCCCACGGATCAGACAAAAAGAAAAGACAAGTCGCCCTATTTGCCATGGCTGGCTATAGATAGCCACAGACTTACGGCTGGTAGGATAGCGTGAAAAGACAGAGACAAGGGAGCAATCATGAGTAGGGCACAGTAAGCCAAGAGGCAAACAAATGCATGAAAGATATCAATACATACATACTCTCTCTGACTACTTCGGGACTCTTTCATGTTTTCTAATCTAACTTAGCCATCGGAGGGTCCTTAAAAAGGAACCCCACTCCCTGATACCTTCTTACCGGACTTGGTGTAGGTGCTGCTGGGAAGACGAAGTTCGGCTAACTCGTGGAGTATCTAGATCCTGTCCGACCTATCTCTCGTTCGACCAAACCGCATCATCAATTGGTGCCGTCTGTGGGAACCTTTCTGTTGATAGTTGTGTTCATTGTTGCCGGAAACAGTTTCCTTATCGCCCATTTTCAGTGTCAGAGTGAATGGTTATGACACGATCCATAACTTCACAGCACAACATCGGAAATCTTCAAGCCGAGCCCTCCAACCTAAATAACCCACCTTAATACTTCACCAAACTTACCAACAGTATTAAACGCTTGGCAGAACAAAACCAAGCCTTAATCCACGCCTTATTTCAACATGAGCTACCAGTTCCTCCACCCCCACCACCACAAGACATTCCTCAAAAACAAGACCAAGTCCAAGACAACCATCCTCAGCAACAACAAGGACCACTCCTTGCACCACTCGCCCCGCGAGAACCCCTTCCAAATTCGAACGACTTATCTATCCCTCCTCAAGGTTCGCAACTCAATCGAAATGACCTTGAGCCCTTCCAAAACCATCATCGACAACAACAAAACACTATCACCCATGAAGGAGAAGCTAGCAGTGTCCAACCCTCTCATGCCAGAGGAGATAATATTCCTGTTTGGGATGAAGAATTGCAGGCCATGAAACTTCAGCTTTAGGGGGTTATGCAGAATATGCAAAACAAAATTTCATCCACCGCTAACTCTCATTTTGCTGCCTCCATCAGGGATAAACCTCTACCTCCCAAGTTCAAGATGCCATTGATTAACACTTTCAACGGCACCACCGACCCTGTTGATCATCTAGAGGCTTACAAAACACTCATGATTCTTCACACTTTCTCTGATGAGATTATGTATTGTGCCTTCCCAGTTACGTTAAAGGGATCGGCATGACTCTGGTTCGGTCAGCTTAAGTCGAACTCTGTAACTTCTTTTGACCAACTGAGCGAGTCATTCTTGAGCCATTTCATTGGCGTTTAATGTCAGCGACGCCTGGCGACCCAACTGCTGAACATTCAATAGACAGAAGAAGAATCTTTATGCAGCTTCATCACTCGCTTCAACGTAGAAGCTCTCAAGTTAAGGAGAATGACGACAAGGTCATCCTAATAGCCTTTATGACTGGTTTACATCCATCCGATTTCCTTTTTTCCTTTCTAAAAACCCTTCGACCACTATGGCCACCCTTTTAGCTAAAGCCCAGAACTACATGAATGTTGAAGACTCTATGACAGTTCGTCAAGACGCTATGCCCAAACCCTCACCGGCCAAAGATAAAAGAAAAGAGTCTGAATCAGAACATAACCAATATCTTGATCAATCCACTCGATACTCCGACCGACCTCCACGCTTTAACCGATCTGCTCCAGCTTGCCTGATTAGTCGGTTCTAGTAATACACACCCTTAAATGCCTCACTAGAGTAAGTCTTACACCAAATCTATCATGATTATAACTTGAAATGGCCCAGACCCTTAGGAAGCCCTTCTGACAAGCGAGATCAATCCAAATATTGTCGCTTTCACTCTGACTACGGTCACAACATAGAGGACTACATCAACCTTAAGATTAGGTGGATGAGTTGATCCACTAAGGCCGATTGAGCCAATTTACCATAGCTAAACCCCACAAAAGCCCCCAGACACAATGGCAACGCTCTTGACGAAGGCTCAAAAGTACATGAATGTAAAAGACTCAATGGTCATCCACACAGAGGTAGAGACGTGACCCCTGCCAACCTATGAAAAGAGAAAAGAGCCCCAACCTGAGCATCAACTCTGAACCTAGAGTAGAAACCTTCTTCTTACCAAGCACCTCAGGAGATATTTTCAGTGGAGGTCCAATTTTATTTTGTCTAGTTCCATTTCATTTTTTTTTTCATGTGTTATCTCTGTTAGGTTTTATTTCTTGGCAATCCCGTTTGACAAAACTCCTTTGAGTTGTAATTTTTTTTCATATTTTTATTTCAGTGAGGCTATGAGTTGTTAGATGCGAATCCAACCCCAATCAAGCCTTTCAGAGAAGTTTGTGATGCTAATGCTTTCAAGATTGCCACTTCGCTGATTATGACGGGGATTGAGCTGAGCGGACCTCTGTTATATCACGTGCATATTTTGCTGAAGACGCTCGAGCGGGCTATTGGGCGCTCGAGCGGAGATCGCGGGACAGATTCTATAAATTCGCGTGTTAGGTCAGATTTTAGGATTACTACTCCAGATCTTCTTTTTGGATTTTAGGGTTTATATCTGGGGATACTTTGTGAGTTTTTCTTTGATGTTTTATTGAGTATTCAACTCATGGTTTAAAGAGAGTACATCAAAGGTTGTGTTTTGTTCTACAAAAGAGAGAGTTGTTCTTCGGTGGATTCTGAAGAATTCGAGCCTGAAGCTTTGGTGGATTCCGGGGTGGCTCATCGTAAAGACAATTCCGAGGTGAAGACGGGTTGGAAGAGACACATAGAGGTTGGTTCAATTAGGCATGGATTCGCTAGGTAATTGAGAGTATACCTGTGTAATTCCTTTAAATCTTTTTAGTGGATTGTTTTGTGACTGTTGCCCGTGGTCTTTTGATCACAGTTGGAGGTGTCCAATTGTGGTTTTTTCCACGTAAAATCGCTGTGTCTCTTTGTCTTGATTGTTTGATTGAGATTGTTATATTCTGCTTAAAATTGATACATAATCACAAATCAACATCTAAGGGATTTCTAGATTTTTCAATCTCCACTTTCAATTCTTTAGTTTGCTATTTATGTTAAGTGCTAATTTCAACCCAATTATTGTCAAAACATTATATGTAAGTTAAACTTGAGCAGATCCCATCATCAATGAAAATAGGCTACTATAATTTGATTGCTATTTTGCATTCACAAGCGATGATAAAAACAAACACCAGCCAATTGTCCAAGGCCTTAGCTAGACTAAGCCAAACCTTGTGGTAAGAGCCAAACACTAGCCGACCGTCTAAGACCTCAGCCAGACTGAGTCAAACCTTACGCTAAGAGTTAAACACCAATCGACCTTCTAAGGCTTCAACCAGACTAAGTCAAACCTTGCGGTAAGAGCCAAACACCAGCCGATCTTCTAAGGCCTCAGCCAAACTGAGTCAAACCTTATAGTAAAAGCTAATTTATCAACTGACCATCCAAGGCACCCATCCAGGGTATATGACCTTGCAGTCTTGAAAACTCAAACGCAATAGATAAACACTCCTCCAAGATGAGCACAAAAACAAATGAAGGAGGTCAACATCATGAAGTGCAACCAAGCACTAATACACATCAATTTGCTATTTGTCCTAGAGCATTTCGAAGGCGATGCCTTCTATGCAGAAGACCATCATAAGAAGACCTCCATGGAAGAGACCCTGCGGAAGACCACCATGTGGAAGAGCCCTATGTGGGAGACCATGCGAAAGGCTTCCATGAGAAGACCTCTACGAGGGAGACCATGCGGAATAGCACTATGTGGAAGACCAGCATATGGGAGATCATGCAGAAAACCACCATATGGAGATCATGCAAAAGACCACTATGGAGAAAACCCCTATATGAGAGACCGCCATATGGGAGACCATGTAGAAAACCACCATATGAGAGACCATGGGAAGACCACCATGGGGAAGACCCTCATGTGAGAGACCATGAGGAAGACCCCCATATGGGAGACCATGTGGAACACCTCCATGCGGAAGATTGCCATGTAGAAGACCATGCGGAAAACCCCCATGTGGGAGACCATGCGGAAGACCTCCACGTGGAAGACCACCACATGGGAGATCATGCAGAAGACCACCATGCGGAAGACCCCCATGTGGGAGACCATGCAGAAGACCTCCACGCGGAAAACCACCATATGGGAAACCATGTAGAAGATCTCCATGGAGGAGATCATATAGAAGACCACCATGTGGAAGACCCCCATGTGGGAGACCATGCGAAAGACCTCCATGTGGAAGACCCCCATGCGGGAGACCATGCGGAAGACCACCATGTGGAAGACCCCCATGTGGGAGACCATGCGAAAGACCTCAATGTGGAAGACCCCCATGCGGGAGACCATGCGGAAGACCACCATGTGGAAGACCCCCATGTGGGAGACCATGCAAAAGACCACCATGTGGAAGACCATGCGGAAGACCATGCAGAAGACTAATATGTGGGAGACCATCCAGAAAACCTCTATGTGGAAGATCCCTATGTGGGAGACCAAGTGGAAGGGCTCCATGCGGAAGACCACTATGTAGGAGACCATGCAGAAGATCACCATGTAGAAGACCCCCATATAGGAGACCATGTGAAAGACCGCCATGCGGGAGACCATCATCTGATCAGCAGATTGAATCTCATCAACATTAAACAGAGGCTAAGCAAATTGTAACTGGGCAAATGTTATCATACTTGACCTTTTCTTTTTTTGAATTCCATCAACTGGGGCTATACCAGCGACAGCTCGAATATGTACAACCTTAGCAAAAGTGCACGCCAATCTTGTGGCAACCCTCACCACTGTTTACTGATAATACCACTGATTACTGCTAAACTGTGACTGAACATGATTAAGTAACTGATTTGATTGACATTCTGAACTAATTGATTGAGTGTATTAGTTTAAACGCATTTCTATCTATTTGACTGTTAATTGATCTGTTCATGTTTTAAGTGTCGAACTGTGGATTGAAGGCCTTATTGGTGGCCGAATCTGAAATTGATTAGTGTTTCATGTTAATTAGAATTTATGTGATTTTATGGTATGTTTAATTGAAATTTGATTTGGTATGATTAAATTAGATTAAATAAGCTAAATTACATTAGTTGGACTTATCTACCATTTTGCTACTTAATGGGCCACTACCTAAGACAATGCTGAAACTTTTTACACTTGATCACACAATATTTCTTCAGCCCTTTTCTTAAGGCCATTTCTTGAGAGAGAGTGAGAATAGGGAGAATTGGTTTCAACTAGGAGATTACTTGGAGAATTGGAAGATTTGAAGGAACTTGCAAAATTTGAGCTTTTATACCTTGAATTGGAGACTTGAGATAGGAGACTCACCCTTTTAATTGTGAGTTTGAGTTGTTCTTGCATGATTCGTGGTAAGGTTAGTGATTTAAGGCATGAATTAGGTTAATATGTTGAATTGAGTAGGAATTCATGCATGCATGTATACATTGTTGAGTTTTGAGGTTGATTTCATGGAAATCCTCACATGTATGTCCATATTCTAGCTTTGGTCCATGAATTCAGCATGTTTTTGGAAGGATTGACTCATTTGTTCTTGTATTAGAAGCTTTGAAGTTTATTAAATTCATGCATGTTGCATGTACATCATGTTCTTGAAGTTTATTTGAAATTGTATTTAATTGACTCACCTTTGGGTTTTGATTTTACAAATTGATCTTCAAAACATCTTATATTGTTGGTTTTCAAGTGTTTTCCAGAAAATGGGCCCAAGGGGTTGAGTTTTGAAGTGTTGAATGCTTGGTTTGAGCTTTGAAGGCAAATATGGAAATTCCAGAATTTGGCTTCCTCGCTCGAGCGAAGGATTCCACGCTGGAGCGACCAACGTTTGTTCAGAGCTCCGCTCGAGCGAAAGAATGATGGCTCAAGCGTAAATTGCAAGCTCTTAGGTTTTTGGTGCACGCAGACGCACGCTCGAGCGAGAGAACCTACGCTCGAGCGAGGACGGTGTCTCATGTTCGAGAGAGCGTCGAGTGGGCGTCCAGCGAAAATTTTCAACATCCAACACTTTTTGCATTTTTATAGACCGCTCGAGCGAGGAAGTTTACGCTCGAGCGACCACACTGTTTTGACAAGCTCGCTCGAGCGAAGAAAGCCACGCTCAGCGAGACCCCTGTTTTCTGAAAATTCTGAAAAGTATTTTTAAGTACATCTTTGCATCTGCATTTCATCCTAAGCATTCCTAGGCCTAGTTTAAGGCATCTTAATGAGGATATTGATGTAGAACCACACCGAGTCAAGTTAGGGACTAAGTCATTGATTCCCAAGTGTGTAACTTAGTGTGTGCTCATCCTGTAACTGTGTAGGGTTGGCATCCGAGGACGTTCACTAGCCTATCTGTAGCCCAGAACTCTGTGAGTAACAATGTTGTAAAGATATATTCAATCATGAATATTTTCTGAATGATTAACTATATTGCTTTCTGAAATGATATTTCTTACTGAATGAATGCTTGTCGTATTTGCGAACTGTATTCGTGGCATCCATAGCAATTTAATGTTACTGTATTGTACTGCTACTGTCACAGAGATCTCTATCGGTTTCCATGTTTGGAACAACTACTGTTTACTAATACGATGGCCATTAACTGACTGTTCGGTCTGTTAAGACCTACTGTACTGTTTTGCTATGGGATGCACCAGATGTGACTGCTATGACTGAATGACTGATATACTGTTATAACTGACCGTTTTAAATACTGAAAGGACATTCATTCTTAACCTCTTTACACAACTGTTATTCACTGGGCTTTGGCTCACTGTTTATATATATATGTAGGTGTCCAGGCACTAGATCGAAGCTAGGAGCGTTGGGTTTAACTCTCTTTTTGTCAAGCCAACCATTGTGCCTCGTTGAGAGGTTCCAAGTCCTTCAAGCTAGGGCTTTTTGAGGTGTTTTAGATTCATCATTTCTGTCTCTGTTTTTGTATAGACTGACTGTACCTGTACTGTACTGTTCTAACAGGGATTAGGTCCCTGTCTTGGATGATTGTATATGTATGTATATACTGTTTTGGTTCTGAATGTGAATATGTATGAAAAGTCTTTTTTGCATACAGACTGTCACAGCTCATTGGACATCATTTGTTACTATTTTGGCTTCCGTCAGCCCATGTACTCTATATTACTGTTATTACTATTAAGCAGGCCTTCGGTAATCACGGATTATTGGCCGGTTACGGTGCAAGACCCATAGGGGCGGGTTTGGGTCGTGACAGAGTGGTATCAGAGCGATATCAGACCACGAGTTATACTGCACACACGTGTCCAATTGAGCTATAGGGTATCCTAGAAAAGCGATTAGGGCATTGTACGAGCATAAAAAAGTGTGTGTGGCCATGACACGAATATATGTGCTAATGTGCTAATGTGTTTAAGTATACAACTGCCTATGTTCGTTATCATTGTATTGCATATAGTGAAATAGACAATGCATGGAGATGAACCTGAATCATCTGAGGCCAGAATGGCAGGGCTCAAAAGAACAGTTGAACTGCTAACTGAGGCCTTAAGGCAACAACAGAACCAACAGCCCCCACCTCCTCCGGTACAGCCAGAACCGAATATGAATGATGATATAATTGTTTTAACGCAGAAGTTCAGTAAAATGAAACCACCATCATTCCAAGGAGGCCTCGAACCGCTAAAGGCAGAAGCATGGGTCCTAGAGACCGAGAAATTGTTTGAAGTCTTTCCGTGTTCTGAAGCACGCAAAGTGCTACTAGCTACCTTCACCTTACAAGAAGAGGCCAGAAGGTGGTAGATGCTTGTCCATGACACCAATACTGCTATGACTTGGGCTCAGTTTAAGGGAGCTTTCTTTGAGAAATATTTTCCACAGTGTGTCAGGGACCGAAAAGTGACTGAATTTGAATAACTAAAACAAGGCACTATGTCCGTAGCTGAGTACGAATCAAAATTCACTGAACTCGCCAGATATGCACCACACATGGTGGATACCGATTACAAAAAGGCTAGGAAGTTTGAAGGCGACCTTAATGTTGAAATCCTTGACAGAATCAATGTTTTGAAAATACTGAAATATGTAGATGTTCTTGACCGAGCAATAATGGTTGAGTCGAACATCAAGGCACTGAAACAGACTGAAACACCAGTGACTGAATGGAACGGTAAGAGATGGGGTTTTAAATTTAAGAGAGGCCGGAACAGTTCATTAAATAGAAAGCAAAATACAGGGTCAACAACCAGTTCCAGTCAGGGAAGTGGTTCTATATCGCGTTGTTCTGAATGTGGTAAGAAACATAAAGGGGTTTGCTATAAAATATCTAGTGCTTGTTACAGGTGTGGCAAGGTGGGCCACATGGTCAAAGATTACTCTTCTGCTCCTCAGGGCAATAGTAAGCTGTAGCCAGCGCCGCAGCATCAACTGTTGCACCGAACCCAAATCTGAAAGCTACTGGAAAAGAGCCTATGAGGCAAGGCCGAGTGTTTGCACGCGTACTGGGAGATGTGCAGAATACCGAGACCGTTTAGTCAGGTATTCTCTCATTCTATAATCAAAATGCTTATGTTCTGATTGATTCGGGGTCTACACAATTCACATGTATCGCATGCTTTTTCGCGAAAATTAAATAGACCACTAGAACCTATGAACTATCTGTTAGCTGTATCTTCACCTGTTGGAGGATCTATGACTTGTGCTTATATGTACCCTGCATGTGAAATTATTGTTGGGGATGTTCATTTGTATATTGATTTACTGCCTCTGAATATTGATCGCTTTGATGTGATATTGGGAATGGACTAGTTAACGAAATATCATGCTACCATAGACTGTGTAACAAAACAAGTTATTTTCCGTCCACCTGGATTGCCTGAATTTGTGTTTAACGGAGTTAGAGTAATACCTCTCCTATATCTGATTTCATCCACGAAAGCTTTTAAACTGATTAAAAATGGGTGTAAAGGGTATCTGTGTTGTGTATTGACTGTACATATTGATGCTAAAACTGATGTGAACAGTATTCCTATAGTCAGAGAATTCCCAAATATTTTTCCAGATGATTTTCCAGGAGATTTGATTGATAGGGAGATTGAATTCACCATTGATGTGATTTCGGGTACACAACCAGTATCTAAAGTTCCTTACAGATTGGCACTGACTGAATTGAAAGAGTTGAAAGTTCAGCTGCAAGAACTGTTAGATAAGAAGTTCATCAGGCCCAGTACTTCACTGTGGGGCGCGCTGGTCTTATTTGTGAAAAAGGAAGATGGCTCATTGAGACTTTGCATCGACTACCGTGAACTGAACAATGTAACAGTGAAAAATAAATATCCATTGCCTCGTATTGATGATTTATTTGACCAGTTACAGGGTGCCCAAGTGTTCTCCAAAATTGACCTTAGATCTGGATACCACCAGTTGAAAGTCAAGACATGGGGCATTGAAAAGAC